ATCAGTGTTGAGCGCCATCCGGGAACCGGCATCTATCGGGTTTTCGAGCCCGGGCATTCCATTGTTTCCTGTCTGCTGTTCAAGTTCGTTGTTAATTGATTGTGCCATTCTATGAGTTGGTAATTTGAATGTAAGATGGACTCTTTTGCAAAGAACCAGTGTATTGCGATGCGTCAAGAAAGAGTATCAAAGAGCTCACCAATATCCTTAGCCCCACGGTGGGCGCCAAACTGTTTACCCTGGAATCCGGATAACAATTGAATTTATATGGGGTTTTAAGGATCCGTGAACTAAAAGATACAAAAGGCTTTTAGGTTGAGGAAAATAAAGATAAAGACTCAACAATTGCTGTTAAAGTAAATAATCGCAGAATATAATATTGCTTAGAACAATTGTGCTTGATGCCCCACAAGAATTTAGAGAGATACCCATTTATACATTCTGATTAAGGGTAAAAATAAGGTAGGTAAATTGATTACATCGTGGATCCCTGTAATTACGCCTTAATGGCCTGAAGTGGTTGAGAAAATCACGTTTGGGCGAGATATCCGGCGACGCTTGGTTATCCGTTACGAGCCCGGCTTCTGACCTTGTGTGTTTCTCCATCCGGTGGTGATTCCTTTCGAGCTCTGTAACGGTCTCGAAATGACTCGACCTCGGTTGTAGACGTGGCCGTCGTTCTACCTTGCATCCAGGTCGGGTTCGATGGCCCCGACTTGCTCCGGACCGGATCCAACCCGGTCGGGCTCAAGCAAAAAAGGGTATCACCCAATACAATACTATTAGCTATTACTAGCAACGAAAGCACCAAAAAATAGTCCTGAAGAAAGTGGTTACCTATTAGGAAATCCCGCTAATCATTAAAACTAACTTAAGAAAATATCTAATCGTTTTCTATTAGTCAATAAGGGAAAATTTGTGTCGGTCTTGTAACGGCTATGATATTCTTGAACCAAACTATTAACTTGGGGCATGAATGAACCATTGTTTTATACACATACAAAGAAAATCAACATATTGACATGAACATAACCAAGGGAAATGCCATGCTTCCTCACCAAGATTCATGCAAGAAGCAGTAAATGGATGAACTATTCTTAACGTAACAGCTTTTACCTCCTGAAAGTTTAACAACAAAGATTAAATAGAATAACATCCTATTAATTACCATATGCTTTTTCCATGTAACAAAATAGTAGTGTTTCGCATATTTCCATATAACAATCATTTAAATCCTAAAACATGGAGATGTACTAACAGATCCTTATCAAGAGAAACTAAACAAATGCAACTATCAACCAACAACAGAAAAATTGGACAAGAACAACCGAGCTAATTTATTAATCGGCTAAAAGCATGGACTAACAACAAACTGATGTCAAGCAGAAGATTGTAATGTTTGAACAACACACGAAGACATAAACAGAGTTTAATTAAAGATTCACCACTTAACCAAATCAAACCAGCCCCTAGATCGAAAGCCACACAACCAGTAGAAGATAAAAGAAATTACTAGATAAATCAGACATGGCCTGTATACTAATTTTCCAACATGTTGCATGATGAAGCGAGATCACTCAGAGAGAGAGAGAGAGAGAGAGAGAGAGAGAGTCCACTGTTGTGCTAAATTTCTTGGAATGACAGAAAAGTTGTCATCTTGCAATCTGTTGCATCAAACAGAAAACTTTTTTGAAGGGTTATTTTACTGGTCAGGCCATGATATATTAACATATCTTAAGAGTTGTGAATCTTTCTTAAATTATGTAGACTTTTGTGGACTAATTCAAAAGCTTATGACTTCACTTCTAGCCAAGATTGCTCAGAATTCGGATACTAGTAATCTTTTTGGTCTATCAAAAGAGTAAGGAGGTCTTGATTGCATGTAAACTCAATCAACAATGAAAGATTTATTTTCAAAGCTGTACATATGCATGAATAGCAGGTTCATGGATAGGAGTAAACTGTGACATGTTATATAGTTGGTTTTTCTTTCCTTTTGCCTCCCTTTGTCTTAAGTATTATTGCTACAGAAACAGTTAAACAGAGGACAATTGTTGGTTAAAGGCTTTTTTGCATCTTATACTTGGTTCATTTAGTTGTAATGAACCAGCTACAGTAGTGATTTGCTACATTAAATAAGTAGTGATTTCTTTCTGGCCCATAACTCCTATATAGGCATTGGTTCAGTTTTAATAACTAGTGATTACTTGATTGAATTCACAAGATTAAAGTAAATATTAATCCTTCTCTCAAGTTTACCTTGTGGGAATCAGAGTTCCAATAGTTAAGAAGATCCTTTAAGTGAGATTCCAAAACATCTACCGGCCTAGTCTCCATTCGAAGCTCGTCATTGGAATGGGCTTCAAAGTGATCTTTCTTCAATTGATTCTTATACTTTCTCCAAGCAACCTGAATTTAATGATAAACCCGGGATAATCGCATCCTCAGGGATGTCATATTTTGCCTACAAATTCGGTGCAATTCGGTTAGTGTAAAAAATATAAAATATAATCCACGCTTATTGAAAATTGAGAATTTCAAACCTTGATATAGTTCCACATATCATCTTTTATATCTAGTTTCCTTCAATTAAAAAACATTAAGAGGACAAAAGGTCATACTCATTGACAATGTGCCGAGAAAACTACCTAACTCTTTTATAACTGCTTCAACTGGACCAATGCGCCGATTCAAGTCATTTAGCACGATCAACTTACGATCTCTCCTTCCATGTACACTTTGCACTAACCGAGCTCCAATTCGCTAAATCCCTAAAATTATTGGATGGCTCGAATTTATTGAAGGAGGTGGTTGTTTATGGTGGAGGAGATAAAGTTTATAGGATATTTTTCTTGAAATTCTGGCGGGTTTAACGTAGGTTGGCGGAAGGATCGACTGTCACCGGTGTGAGAAGAGCTGGACAGAGTGATCGAGTTCTTTGATTTTGGGCTTGAGGTTTCTCTTTGATTTTGGGCGTGAGGTTTGCGTCTTTGACAGAGAAACATGTTATTTGCCCTTCTCCACTTTTAATTAACGAGTAGTATTACATAAAAAAACTATAGGTAAAAAAATAGAATGTAAAATAAAATATGGGTTTTGGCGGGTTTCACGAAAAACTGAGGGGGCAAATAATTGAGAGGGAATTAAAACCGTTCCCATTGAATTGTTTCCAAGATCTGTTCCAATAAATACGTCTATAGGAATGGTTCAATTAAACGTTGCAACAAAAAAAATCTATGGGAACGGTTCCCCCACAAGTGCAACGGTTTTATAGTGAAAGTGTGCCCACAACATCTATGCCTTATTGTAACGGTCGCAACTACAATAAGCCCTCTATAGCAACGGTTCACAAACCGATGCAATAACATCTGTTGCCATAGGTTGATTTTCTAGTAGCTAACTAACTAACTACTCAGTACAAATAATTATAGTTCTTAACAATTGTTTTAACTGCTATTTAAGAAAGATATATCACATAATATTTTTTCTCCTAAATTCAATTGTTTCTATTTTCTCAATGCATTAATAGTATGTCATATGTTGGTAATTTTGAAGAATTATGTGTTTCGATACGTTGATACTTTTCGAAGATCTGTTTTATTTCCTATGAGGATATTGACACGTTTGATATAGTTTTGTTTCTAAAGTTGGTCTTTGATGTTTTAATGAAAAGTGTTTTGTACTCTTTGGATATCCTCTTTATGTGTTTTAATGATAGGGTTTCAATTTTACTTTAACTTTAATGATGAAGCAAAAAGTCGTTAATTCTTTCCATATCGCTCAAGGATAACAAGATGTTAGTTTTTGGTTTCGCCTATTTTTTAATTTAATTATTTATTTATATGAACATGTTGACAATTCAGGCTAATTGAGTTTGGTATCTTATTCTGAATAAGATCACGAAAAACTGCACCACATGAAATTAGAAGACTTATCTTTCTTCGGCTTTTAAATAGGATTGTCAAATTAGACTAAACTTGGATACGATTTAACTAGTCAAAATTATTTCTTATAATCAATGGAATTATCTTCACAAGTTTAAGTTTAAATCCTTTTGATGACCGATCAAAGATAACTATTAATTTTGCCTAAAAAACTTAATTATTGGCTCTAAAAAGTAGTTCCATTTATAAACCAAAAAAGTTAAAAATAATAGGATACCTAGTCTAAATGGACCGCTTTCTAAACATTCATTTTGCAAAGATATGGAATAGAAGTAAATCTCATGAGACACTAATGTCTTCGAAGATGCCATAGAGTAAAAAGGAACTAACCAATAGTGTCCAACCCTAATTCATCAATCGTGAACACGTCATGATGACACCTAGTCACGACGACTAGATAAGCCTAACAGTGCGGAAGTAACAACTAATACGAAAATATTAAATCAAAAGTTAAATAACTTAAGAAAGTATACAACTTGCCACTTGGCACATACACTTCGACACTACAAATTCTGAAAACAGAAACCCAAAATCCGAAATCTCACAGAAACCACATGCTAATAGAAATGTAATACACTGCTCTAACTCCGAAATGTCTACACACCCGAAAGAAAGGAAAATCAAATACTAAAGCTAGAATGAGATAGAGACTCCTGGTCTGCGGACGTGGCAGATATACCTCAAAGTCTCTGGTAGATGTCTCCTGGATCACTGATGGTGCGCCTGACCGGAGTTACCTGGATCTGCACATGAAAAACATGCGCAGAAGAGGCATGAGTACACCACAGCGGTACTCAGTAAGTGCCAAGCCTAACCTCGGTTAGGTAGTGACGAGGAAGGTCAGGGCCCTACTGAGATAAAACATAATAATCAATATGATATTGAGAAGACAATATGAGTATAACCACAGCGAGAATCTAGCAAGATAATAAGTAAAAGCAGTAACAAAGAACAACACAATCAATGAATAGAGGTACAAACCACAACCGGTTAATTAGCATCAGGGATCTCCTGGTATCCCGAGGATCTCTTGGTATCCCGAGGATCTCTTGGTATCCTCAATAATAATTCTGGGATCTCTTGGTATCCTCAATAAATAATTTGGGGATCTCTTAGTATCCCGAGGATCTCCTGGTATCCTCCATATATAATCATTTCTGTGCCAAGGATCTCTTGGTATCCCGCACTCTCAGTCTTAGAACATAACACGTGCAGGGGAAACTCCCGGGATGCCGTCCCGTAGTCCCAAATTGTAAACACACCACAACAATTCAAATATTGCATAATGCTAAGTGAGAACAATTAATAAGATTTCTAGTCTAGCATGCTTCACGAAGCGCAAATAATACAGTTTAGACAAGTAAGCAAGTAAGTCCACTAAACATGCTTTTCTATACTAGCACAGGCTGTAATAGCAAGTAGGATAAAGCAAATACGAAAGAAACTCAGTTCAAGTATTTTAAGTAAAATTCGGGTTTTTACAATTAGCTCAAGTATGCGCTCGTCACCTCACGTACAAGGCATTCAATTACCAAATTTCATATCTTAAGGGACAAAGTCCCCCACACAAGGTTAGACAAGCCACTTACCTCGAACAAGTGCAAGTCAACCCAAAACCACGCCTTTCCCACGAGTTTCCGATTCCAAATGGATCAAATATATTCAATTAAATTGCATATCATCAATGATAATTCAAGTAATTGATTCTAGAATTAAATTCCAAGCTAATAAGCAAAATTATATAAAATGACCAAAATGCCCCTCGGAAATGGATAAAATTTACATTTCCAGAAACCTCGCACTCTCACGAGTCTAACCATACAAAATTTATACAATTCCCATATCATTTCGACCCTCAAATCAGTGATTCTATCCAAGAGGGTTTTCTACCCTTTTCAACAAAATTCTCAGATTAAACGCCAAAACTTGTAATAGATTCGAGTTATACAACCAAAATTGAGTTAAGAACACTTACCCCGTTGTTCTCTAAGAAAGTCTGTCCAAAAATCGCCCTATCCGAGCTCCAATTCGCTAAAAATGGAAAATGGGAATGAAGTCCCATTTTCAGAACTTAACATTCTGCCCAGGCCCGTTCTTCATCGCGTTCGCAGCCCAGGCGTCGCGTTCGCGAAGGCCAATTTTCCCAGACCCTTCGCGTTCGCGTTCCAGGCTTCGCTTTCGCGAAGGCCAACTGCCAGCCCCTTCGTGTTTGCGTGGCAGGCCTCACGTTCGCGTAGGCCAAATGGCCCAGGCCCAGTTTTCCTTCTACGCGTTCGCGGTGTCCTCCAGCGTTCGCGTAGTACCCCTTCCTGCTGCTACGCGTTCGCGTCTCCCCCTTCGCGTTCGCGAAGGCCAATATCACAGACCCCCATTTTTCCTCTTCGCGTTCGCGAGACAACCCTCGCGTTCGCGAAGAAGGAAACCAGATACCAGAAAAAGCAGTTCAAAATTTTCTAAAAGTGACCCGTTGGGCATCCGAAACACACCCGAGGCCCCCAGGACCTCAACCAAAAGTACCAACATATCCTAAAACAATATTGATAGGGCGACAACCAGTCCATGCCCAAAGTAACATCGAAATCCACCATACTGAGCAACAATAAATCAGCTCTGGTCTCAAAACCACTAAGAACAACCAAACACGACCGATACACAAGGTCAACAACAATATAATCTCCCACAGGTGTAGACACATAGACAAGAGAACTCAAAGAATCATGGAATACACCCCAATACAGAGTAAAATAAGATGACACATAGGAATAAGTGGAGCCTGGATCAAATAAGACTGATGCATCTCTATGACAAACATGTACAATACTTCTGATGACAGAGTTGGATAAAACCGCCTCCGTCCACGCAGGAAGAGCATAGTATCTGGCATGGCCTCCCCTTCTAGGGCGACCTCTGCCTGCCCGACCTCCACCTCGAGCTGGTTGTGTAGGTGGAGTAGTAGCTGGTGATGTAACCATAACCTGAGGACCTGGTGGAGCAAAATTGGTCCGAATTCGATCCAAACCACACATGTTTGGGACCCCGTCCGAATATACCAACAAGTCCTAAAATATCATACGAACTTAGTCGATGCCTTAAATCACATCAAACAACATCAAAAACTCAAATTGCGCATCGATTCAAGCCTAATGAACTTTAGAACTTCTAACTTCCACATCCGATGCCGAAACCTGTCAAATCAAGTCCGGTTGACCTCAAATTTTGCACACAAGTCATAAGTGACATTACGGACCTACTCCAACTTCCGGAATGACCTCAATATTAAAAAGTCCACTCCCGGTCTAACCTTCCAAAAGCTTCCAACTTTTGCCAATTCAAGCTAATTCAAGTACGGACCTCCAATTCAAAATTCGGGCATGATCCTAAGTCCAAAATCACTTAACGGAGCTAACGGAACCATCGAAACTCCATTCCGTTGTCCTCTACACATAAGTTCCAGACTTAGGTCTGACCTTCAAGGTCTGCTCCTAACTTGTTTAACCCAAACAAATGGTCAGGGGTGTGCCAGCCTGTCCTTGTGGCTAGGCATGACCACTATTTGTTATGGTTCCCCAATTCCCTTATCACTTTGCACTTATTCCTAGTTCTAAGTTCTGCCCCCCTCTTGTAAGCCATGCTTTGGGACCCTTGAGCTCCCTCTGAACTTGGATGCCTGAGGGCTGGCTCTTTCACACTGCACTATTCTAATTCTAAATGATATCCTGAGTGTAAGCAATGCCGGGAATCCTTGAGATTCCTTGGAACTTTGAAACACTTTGGATAAAGAGAAGGCTTTGGAAATCTGGATCCGGAATTGGTTAATCACATGTTATTAGACATTAAGATCGGATTAGGCAGTTTGGATCTAGTTGTTAGTCTTTGATGTATTTTATATTTTTCTCCTTTCCGGTTTGTAATAATTTTGTATAAAAAACTCGGGGAAATATAGTAAAAGGGTGTGGGAGGGGTTTTACTTTTCTTGCATAAATAAGGGATAGATATCATGACTTAGGGATTTAATCTTATTACTAGAAATCCTGCCTATAGGTCTGT